TTTCAGTTATATCACTGCTTGTAAGAAAGATATTGGGGTAGTAATGCAAGGGTATGGTGTTGGCAAACCAGGATCGAGACTCTTTGCATCCCCCAAGGCGAACACTCTGCATAATATACTAGCCACATAAAGAAACTGTGCACACAGAAAATGCCTTCATAATTGGAATACAACACAGCAAAGACGAAATGATGTAGACACGTTATAAGCTGAAGTATCTGACCACAAGAAAATGTCAAAAGAACATGAAATATCCGTAACGATGACGTCAGAAGTTCAAAATCGAGTAGGAGGTCACACGACGAAGTCACAAAGTCAATAACGGGTATGACCACCGTGTGCGTGAAGCACAGCAGTGCGTCGAAGACGCATAGAGGCTAGCAAATGAGCATTGAAGGACTGGGGAATGGTCTGGGGCGTGAGTCACTGCTGTCTGGAACCTGTATCTGAGATGAGTCACCCGAATCCATCTGTCCTGTCTTGGCGTCGTTACGTCGGGAACGCCCAGAACGTGGGTGTTTGGCGACGTCATTACTGCTTCCATAACGCCTGACCCATGCAGATATCGTGTTACGATGGCATTGGAAATGTGCTGCCACCTGTTGTTGGCTCATTCCTGCTCGAACCATTCCAATGGCTTCATGACGTTGAGCAGATGTTAATCTTGGCATGATGTGCATGTGACTTCTCATGTGAATTGGTGAACGTTTGAATGACCAAAGATCAAGCTTTCGACAGTGACAGCAATTTCAGAGTTTCACATGCTGTGTGCATCTGTACGGGCTGCACGTGCAGTAACACATTGCAAGGCCTTAGGCCACCGTCAATGACGTCACGTCGCCTGGCACGTGCATGAGCGTTTGATTGTCTCCAATACTTGCTATGTTCACAAATGTATTTATGTATAAATACGCTGTGTGCCTATATTTATATTTTCTGTGTGCACAGTTTCTTTATGTGGCCAGTATAGTACATGTAGTAGAACTTGTAATATATTTGTCAGTTGTAATTGTAGTTGGAATCGGTTGAGATGAGGCGACAAGGGTTCGCGTTCAAGATAAGTACATTTACACACATGTACATATAAGTACATATATACATGGTTGTATGTATGTGTCTTCGTCCGGACAGTGCTAGTGAATGAGTTGAACAGAACGTCGCATTGGCGTTATTTCAGCCATAGACCCGTGAAGATCCGGGGTAGAATAGGACTTCAGCAACCCATGCTTGCCACAAAGGCGACTATGCTTGTCGTAAGAGGCGACTAACGGGATCGGGTGGTCAGGCTCGCTGACTTGGTTGACACATGTCATCGGTTCCCAATGCGCAGATCGATGCTCATGCTGTTGATCACTGGATTGTCTGGTCCAGACTCGATTATTTACAGACCTCCGCCATATAGCTGGAATATTGCTGAGTGCGGCGTAAAACTAAACTCATTCACTCACTCACTATTTCAGCCATAGAGCAACGAGGTTGTCACAGGTAGCGTCTTGTGGTGTGTGTGAGGGCAGAATTTGGGATTGTGTGGCTGCAATGTGAGTAATGAGACGTTGTTCCCATCTCCACTGTTAGCGCGTCTCTTCCAAACAGTACTTCGTTGAAAAGCCACAAGACAAAACACCTGCGGACATTTAAGAAGGTGTCCATGACCTTTTGTACATTCAATTCGAGGCCACACCAATTTGATACCCGTCCTTTAAGATGTAAACTTTCGTTTGAAGAACTTTCTTGCCACCAGCAAAAAAACAAATTAGTAAGCATTGCGTAAAAGAAACTTTAGATTTGTCAGTTTTTGGTCAACAGAATCCCAGCGCTACAACTCGACATACGATGGAGCACGGCTTGCCGCTATACAGGCTGGCTGCCCCGAGATCAGCTGTTCTTTAAACACCGATCCCTGGAGAGACGTTTGTGCCGGTGAATGTAGCGCTGGTCAAACCCCGATTGAACAATTCTTGTATATATATTAGTACGCGGTTTCCATGGAAACCTATATCGATAAATATTAAAGTAGAATAAATCTATCCTTATACGAGGAATAAATTGCCTTGAGATGTTGCGACTGGTCTTGAAGCATAACACACATGCATTGATATATCTATAATATGGAACAGGTGTTCAGGTTGGATTAGATGAAGGTTTACGCCATAATGATAGAAAGACAATTCACTTGCACGATCTGACTTCTTAAGTAAGGCGGACCCGGCGCTCCAATCATCTGGGGCACCGTCTGTCGCTGTGTGGAGCTGAGAGTACGTGATATGGAGCTGAGAGAACCAAACTGCAACTCGACATATGGTTTGAAGCTTGGCTTACCAAAACCCTTGTTCATGGGTTTCAACCAAAGTGGAACACGTCACAGACCTGCATCACTTCGGGTAGTGTTTCTCACAGTCCCTGAACCACAATATTTCCCCTACTGCCTAGCCCTCTCTGCAATGCTAAAACCCTAAATGAAGCAAGTCTAGATTTCCCAGGTTCAGGTTCTGAATCTCACTGGGGCTCCTATTCAATATAAATGGGTATGTTTGTTACTATCAAAATTATATGTATTCAGAGACTCAGCGTTACTCTACACTTCGTGCTTTCCTCCCAAATCAGCTTACACGCCATCATATCTACTACCCATCAAGGACCGCCTCCGTGGTGTAGTGGTTAGAGCGTCCGCCCAGAGAGCCGAAGGTCGCGGGTTCGATCCCCAGCCGCGTCATACCAACAGACGTTAAAACATGGTACTTGTTGGTCCCTGCCTGGCGCTCGGCATTAATGGGTATAACAAGGAGTGGTCGGCTCGGAGTCAGTATACTGTGTCTGAGTGGGGTATTCATGCTTCACTGCGGCATGGTATCTCAGTGGGCTAGCACTATAAAACCAGCTTCAGTCTGGGCTAGTACAAGCAGCCGCACATACACATACACACGCATGCACGTCGTCATATGAGCGAAATATTCTCAAGCACAACGTTAAACCCAATTTCACCTCACCTCACCTCACTACCCATCAAAAGTTTAGACTCGCTTATATCAATTATTGTTATGTATGTACATATGGTTACAACGAAGATGAATTTCTCAACTAACTTGGGGGAACCAACTGCAAACCTTAAGCAGATTAATTGCACGAGGATCATGCATCAAATTGCTGAAAAGCATGTGCAAATATCGCGCATGTGAACAGCTGCGTGTTTGGTGTAATGTTTTGATAAAAAAATCGCCATTTTTCACCGAGTTTCATCATTTATTGAACACATTTCAACGTCACGAATTTGTTTTACAATACATCAGTTCATGTGTAAACAGTACCTTTAAACTGTATGCATTATTTTACAAAATCTAGTTCAGGACAGTTGAATGAAGTAAGTGGCTACATTTACACTAGTGAGTCTAAACTTTTGATTGGGAGTATATAATTGGATTACAGAGAACTTGAACCCAACTCACTCATTAATATGAAAGTAGACACGAATAAATTTGCCGGTCCAAGACAAACATGACTAAGTTTTCTGATCTCGATCAATGTTCCAATATATTTTAGGCCTAACAGGAGGAAAACTAGACTACGATTTGCCGTCAAACACTGTGCTTCGCAGCAGACTAAGGGACCTAGTTTTCCTGTATCTAAATCTGTCACCATAAGCGTGGATTGAACGGGATCTATATTTTCACCTGAAATCCTAATGGGTAATGGTGCACATTTGTTAGGTAATTAATTGTACATATACTTCTTTTCAAAAGTTTAGACTCACTAGTGTAAATATAGCCACTTACTACAGGCAACTGATCTAAAATAAATTGTGCAAACTAGTCCATATTGTTTAAAGGTACTGTTTACACATGAACTGATGTATTGTAAAACAAATTCGTAACATTGAAAAATGTTGTCATGAGTCCAATAAATGATAAAAATAAGTGAAAATTGGCGAATCTCTTACAAAACTGTCCACATGCACGATATCTGCACATGCTTTTCAGCTATTTCATGCATGATCCTCGTGCAATTCATTTCCATAAGGTTTGCAGTTTGTTCCCCCAAGTTAGTGGAGAAATCCATGTTCGATGTAACCATATATATATACATAACATATAGTGAGTGTTTTAAGTGAGTCTAAACTTTTGAAAGGAAGTATAGCTAAACAACATATCGATATAGTCAGGGCAACAGTGGATGAAGCGTTCTTAAAATAATTCTTCTGCAACAGCTGACGCGAATCATGCAAATCGTTCATCATGGGAAATAACTCTTCCAAACTTACCACTGGTCCGTTCCGTCATGTCACACGGAATGAGTTAATCACAGTTAATGTTCTGATAGTATGGTGTTTGGTGTTCGTTTTTGTGTTTGGTATAGTCACAAACCAGAAACTACAATCCGTCATATCAACCAGAACCTGCTGAGAATATTTATAACTTATCTTCACGGGTCAGATGTAATAACTGTGAAGATACGGGTTGGAACTGGTCTTCAGTAACCCGTGCTTGTCGTAAGAGGTAATTAACGAGATCGGGGGTTCAGGCTCGCTGACTTGGTTGACACGTCATCGTATCCGATGCTCATGATATCAGTCACTGGATTGTCTTCTCCAGGTTTCATTATTTAGAGACAGCCGTCATGAAGCTGGAAAATTTCTTGGCTTTAATTGGCTTTAAAAAATAAAGTAGGAAAGAAACAAACATTATCAAATAATAAAGTATTATATTTTAGGATGTTTATTTTCAAGTTTCGTGAACGTATGGTTTGTTAAAATTACGTTTATGAAAAATATGAAGAACACAATATTTACCAATCTTAACCTTGAAAAGAGGTCTCGGATTTCATTGTACATCCATTCATGCAATCGAATGTCAAAAGCAACAGGAAAGTGTCTAAGGGGACATAACTCCGTCAGACTTTAATGTTTGCACGGGCACGGGCACCTGTTACACGGTCACGTGATTTAATCATCGAAGTCGGGATAGTTTGATTGATCGGAACATGTGTGCGTGCGTATAACACAGCAGATTGCCTTGGTTAAATATTCATCCATCTACAGGTATCGATATTTATTAACGTATACGGCTTTTGATGGTGCAGATTTGCTGCAAGCTTTGACAGACTTTGTTGCCAAGTGTTAAGTTATAACTGTCCTTTTCTTGAAGTTGGATTTAAAGGCGGTGTGAAGAGTTCTCGACGGTGCCATTTGATTGGAGTTTACCAAGTGTTCTGATTTGAGCTGCACGTCAGTGAGTGCAATGTATACCATGGTGAGGGATACTACCAGTTGAGGGACTGGCCGCGCCATCTTTGAGAGTTTGTGAAACTGTTGGCAACAATACCAATGTGAAGCGCTCGTGAAGGAAATAAGGATACAAGTATCGTCCATCGGATATTCACTGAGGTACGTTCACATGTTTTTTTGTAATTTTTATGCAATGTTTTATGTTATGCATGGTCGTAGTTTGCCATGTTTCCTTTTGAAGTGTTAACCCTCATTGCTGACAATGTAAATTTTGAAATGTGTATTGATTTTTGTCTTACATGTCACAAACATTGTGTATGTATTGCCAAAACACTGCAGATATCCCACCTAGCAGATCGGCTGGTTGACTTGGTTGACACATGTCATTGGTTCCCAATTGCGTAGATCGATGCTCATGATGTTGATCATTGGATTGTCTGGTCCTGATCTGACCGCCGCCATATAGCTGGAATATTGCTGAGTGCAGCGTAAAACTAAACTCACTAACTCACTCACTCCCAGTTCTGACTCTTAGAAGCCTGGCTAGTCTGTTTGACACATCACATTTACCAGTTGAGCTGTGTACAGCCGAATTCGGTAATATGGCTGGTCCAAGCCCAATCAGCATTTCATTGGATAGTTCACACTCCACTAGTGATAATTTTGGCTTTTTCATGTGTGCCTTTAATGGGTATACTTATACCACTAGTCTGTCTCAGTCCCTGAACCACACTATTTTCCCTACAGCCAAGCCCTCCCTGCAATGCTAAAGCCCTACATGAAGCAATTCTGAATCTCTGGTCTCCTTGGGTCTCCTTTTCAATTTAAATGGATTTATTTGTTACAATCAAAATTATATATATATTCAGAGACTAAGCATTAGTCTAGGTATACCACTTATAATCACAATCAACTGTGTTTATACAATTGGTGCATAACATGCACATGTGCTTCAACCAACTCACGATTGTTATAATCTCCAATGATAACAGTGTGAAGAATATCTATGGTGTTTTAGCAACACATACATAATGTCTTGTAAGTCAAAATCAAAACACTTTTCAACTTATTTGGATGAAATCCCAAACTCCATTTTTTACTTTCTTTAGTACTTCACATTATTAACTTCTTTAAGTGGCACTTAGAGGCTGGAATGATGTATCATGCTACATCACATTATTAGGATGAAATACTAAGAAGAATTAAAATATTGTTCAGTGGAAGTATTGACTTACCCATTGAAAAATCTTCTAAACATAAGCTGTGCCAGCTGACAGTCTGTGTGTTCAATAATTAGTATGAGGGAGAGTAGTATTATAACTGTTGGTATGGATGTTGACCACAGGTTGAACAGAGTTTGACTGGAAAATTATTTCATGCATAAAAGGTTCAGCGAATGTTCGCAATCCCCACAGTGGAGATTCAGTGTTAAATTAGGTCACTTGTAAGGTGAGGAGATGTCAGATATTGAGAGGTCAAGGTCAGTCACTTGGGTTTTGGTGTGTCATTTTATGACTTAAGCTATACGAACTGCTAATCATTGTTCATAATATCACATGTTTGTCTGGTCCTGAATCAAATTTTCACATGCCACAGTTGCTCGGTTGTAGTACTGCTACACCTGGAAGATGCTTACTTTGGTGTCTCAGCCCCTCCTCAACACATGTCAGATTGGTAATTATAACATATATATTCATTTTGACATCATGGAATATGGCCGTCTTGACTCGAGTCAAGGAATTTCAATCACAGGATAGTCTTGCCCGGACTCAACCCTTTACTGACCATTGTGCAATTCCTGGAATCTTGCTGAGTGTGGCATTTAGCCCCTCCTCAGTGTATATCAGTTTGCAAATTATAACATATATTTTCATTTTGACATCATGGAATATGGCCGTCTTGACCAGAGTGAGGGAATGTCAATCACTGGATAGACTGGTTCAGACTGATTAATTTACCGACCATCTTGCAATTGCTGGAATGTAGTTGAGCAAGGAAACCACCATCAGTTGACCTTGCAGTCCAGATATTTGTTTCCCTTAATGCTACGCTTATAGAAATGTAAAAACAATCAGATGTAGGCTACAAGGCATTGTATTGCGACCTCATGCATTTCCACTGGCCACAACATGCAACTTCACTTGGGCTAATTTGGCAGAGTAGGATGAATAATTAACTCCATGTGCAGTGAAGACAACCCATCTGATTGTCTCTATGGGAACATGCCTGGTGTTTGATTGGTTTGCTACTGAGGTCAGAGGTCACATGTTGCCTCAGGACAAGGACTCCTGCGATTGCCTGATCAGATGATAGTAGAAAGGTATGTAGAAAGGGAAATAAAAAATAGCTCCTGCCATTTTATGAGTTTTGTGAAAACTACTGTGAGATCTGGTTAGGGATTCAGTGAAGATGAGTTAGTTGGGTCTTTATGGAGGTACAGATGTTCAATTACTGACTTGTCAGTGACCTTGCGACAACAATGTTTGACCTTCATTTCTGAAAATGTTATCATACGGTCTTAAGCAACTTTTGTAATATGTAAACCAGGGTTTTAATGTATGCTAATATTGTAAGCTTAAAAATTGAGGTCTTTGAATGGCATTTAGAAGTAATACTCATACGGAAAAGAGTTAATATGGATGTCAACCTCTTTATTATGATGAACACAACTCCGAAATGCTGCGGTCATCATATTAAAGGAGTTGACATCCATAAAAATCTCTTCCTTAAAAACTGAGATTGGATGTAAACCATTTGCACTGTGAGTCATGGGGTGTGTCTGTTTGAACAGAGGCCTTATGTTGGTATTGGTGTTGGTGTGAATCATTATAATGAGATCAATATGGGCCATTGTAGCCTGCATGTAAATTCCATGAACAATTTTCATAACTCAATCATTAGGTTTTGCTTTAAATAAATAAACTCACGCCCATGGTTAGGGTCAGACTATGCAAATATACACATGGATAAAAGTAATGCAACAATTTGTATTTTAATGTCAGTGGTTACCATTTACCATGGCACAGGCTTTCACGTGTCAAAACGAGCGACTTGACACCCTGATAACATCGACGCACCCTGAGGTTGACTGGCGTTTCAAAAACGCATGATGTATTTGTTTTCGCTCCTCGTCTTGCTTTGTTCATATGAAGAATGTGTATTCATCGTAACTGTAATCTACTTCTGAAAACAAAATAGTTCAGTTTAGTTTTACGCTGCACTCAGCAATATTCCAGCTATATGGCGGCAGTCTGTAAATAATCAAGCCTGGACCAGACAATCCTGTGATCGACAGCATGAGCATCGATCTACACAATTGGGAACCGATGACATGTGTCAACAAAGTCAGTGAGACTGACCACCCGATCCCGTTACGACAAGCATGGGTTACGGAAGGTTCATTCTAACCTTCACGGGTCTCCATGGCAAAGGAACTTATCCGGACCTCAGTTTCAATTACAATCAGGACATATTGACCATCATTAATCATTAAACGGCAAATCTAAGTGCAAAAAGAACAAAAAACTAGTTTATACAGACAATATTGCAAAAAATTGGCTCATTTTGCAGTGCTGATTATTATGGTCTTATGATGTTAAGTGTTGTCATTTTCAAGGTTCTGGCATACAATGCTCAAGAAATCAAGTATCAGCTACTGTGCACAATGTCAACATACATTGATAATACAATGTGCCATTTGAGACTGACATCCAATGATCGAGGGAAAAACAAAGCACCTTTGAGCAGGTGATCTGGATATTGGCGCTATATAAATATATATAAATAAAATAGATATGGTGTAACCTCCGCCAACTGCAATGTCATCTCTGACCCTCATCCTCATTGACTGTGTCAGATGTTGAATTTGACATTGAGGTATTGCCTTCAAATCTTGATGGAGGGCTTGTTCCGTCTCTCAAGAGTTTGGAGGATCTGTCTGGTGTGTTCTGCGACCCATAATGTCCCAAACATGCTCTATGGGACTGAGATCTGGACTCGGCAGGTCAAGGTATGATGATACCCAGCATTGTTGTCCATGAAGACTGGCCTTGTGTTCAGAGGATGGACATCAAAATGTGGTACAACAACCCAGTCTAGGATGTTAGTAATGTACCACTCTCCATTCAGATGTTGTCTGGTCACCAAACAGTGAAGGTAATGTTCATCTCTCAACAACAGTAAGCCAACTTCTGACATTAGGTCTAGTCATGAGCATGTAGAAAGCTTGGGCTGCAGATCTGAGAGGGACACAAGCTCTGCTCATATGAGAAGTTGCCTGTGATGTCATGAACAGTGGATAAGATCCATTTATATGAAGACAATTCACTGAAGTGAAGACCTCTCAGGGGTGGAAATAACTTTAAAATTGCTAGTGTACTCCAGTACAGTGGCACATGTAAAATCACTTGCCCTGATAATTTTTCCACTATACCAACTGATATTCCTGTTCATTTTTTAAATAAACTTTCCAATTAACATTGGAAAGTCAACTGGACACTGGTACAGCGTGATATACAAATTTGCTTGCCCGACAGCAAAAGCACTGGACTGGGACGTCAGGCAATGGGTTATTTCCACCCCAGCCTCTGTTGGGTTACTTGGCCAAAATGCCAGAATACCTTGATAGATTGGATGGTCAGCCTCAGTGCAGGGTTGATGTCCTTAAAAGCCCAAGATAAGCTCAATCACTGGCTTGTCTGGTCCAAAGGCTTGCTGTCATGTAGCTAATATGTTGGTGAAATTAGTTTAGTGTTAAGTGACAAACGAACTTGGCGTTAGTTTAGGAATGGTATATATCTATTAGAAACATCATAATTCAGAGTTTGGAAAATATCATACATATTTAGATGAAATTTTTTTGACTTTTGTGAATTATAATTTCTGATTCATAAGCAGAAAATATATGTATGAATTCAGGAATTGTACATATTTGCTGGAAATATTAAACTTCACTTTCTGAAATATAATAGCATGTAACAATGGTTTCTAATGAAAAGTTGTGTTTTCAATACTATTACCAATTAACTTCACTGGAAGCTAGAGTAGCATTTACAGAATAGAGGCTAGGATTTGGTGGAGCCTTTATTACATGGTCAGTCATTCTAGCATGGTTTTCAACTATCAAGCTTTTGGACAAAACCATTGTTTTTTTCTGGTGTGAAAGTATCATATTCTATGGGCCATCACTGGCTTGTCTGCTCAGTAGACTTGGTTCTTACAGTTTACAAGGCTGGGCCTAGATTTTCGAAGCTCTCTTAGCGCTAAGATAGTCGTAGGTTAATGTTAATGTATGGCATTTACGACTATCTTAGCGCTAAGAAAGCTTCGAAAATCTAGGCCCTGGGATATTGCTGAGTGTGGAGGTAAATTACAAACAAGCCCTGATGCAATATCACAGCCATAAGTGCTGTATTGGAAAACAATGAATTAGCCAATGACATTTTATAGTTCAGTGTCCTTCTGGGTAATATTTTATATTCCTTTCCACAGCAGCATTTGTAATGTTCTTTTAGCACTGAGATATTTTAGTTTCAGTGATCAAAGTTATTTTTCTACTTCTCTGAGAGAGACCTTTCCCAGCTGTGACACACGTGAAATTCCAACTCTGAGTCATTTCATTGATTCCATAATAAACATGGTTTTGACGTGAACCGAATCCATTAAATCACATCTTTTGCTTCGATATGATACGTGTTGGAGTGAAATCTGTCAATCTGAAGACGTGTCATGAGAAGTATCAATGTCAAGGCTTCTATATTTGTCTATGAGTGGGAAGGCATGTAGACTGTCATATCTAATTTTGGTATCTTGAAAATCAGCTTGATTGGCCAGTTCCTAATGTAAATTATAAGGATGTGTCATTACGCTATTGCATACATATACTCATGGAAACAAATAAGGGAACACATGAAAGTACTAGTGGTCCTTTGTTCTTTTCCAGGTTTCTTCACAAGGTATGTATTGCACTGTTTGAGAAATTCTGGAAATAAATAAAGGAACACTTTCAGGTGTTCACTTATTTGTACATCAATGTGTGCTAAATGTTCACTAATTACTACTCCTGACTGGGTTTGGATTTGATGTCCCATCTGGGTCTGGGGGATTGTGAATCACAAACTCGGGTTTGAATACTTATTCAGCATATGTTTTACAATATATGGCTAAATGGATGAGCTGGTGTACTTGGTTTGACTGCATGTCTGTCCAGGCAGTGTCGTCATCATATCAAATAGTAAAATCAAATTTGATTATATACAGGCCATTATGATACTGGTTGAATAGAACTAATTTCATCATATGTATGGGAACTAGTAGCATAGACAATGATAGTCTTCGTACAGACCCTGAAGCAAATATATCCAAGAAAGCCCACGCAAGTCTAGAAAATGTGGCAAGTCTAGATTTCCACAGCTTCTGAAAATGAAGAAAGTCTAAGGTCTCCTTTTCATTATATTATTTTTTTTTACTATGTACTTTTTTTCAGTAAAATATGTTAATTTCAGAGACTAGTTGTTAGTCTAAGACAATGAGAGAACCACCATGCCATTATTAGGCGTTTTCACCTCAGTTCTGCATATTAATGGGGTGGTGGTTCTGTTCTCTCATTGTCTATACTACTGAACTATTTCACACTAGTGACTTATGACTTATTTTCTTTCAGACAATACGTCACTGACGATGTAGATATTACTCATGGGGAGTCTCAAGATGACAACAACGCAGCGGCGTAAAGTCGAGTCAATCCCACGATCCAAAACGATGTCTGTAAACGTGCGTCGGCTCCACGAGGCCCTGAATGTGCATCTTGATCAACAGGAAGTCAGCACCTTCGTCGATGCCCTAAATCTGTACAACAACCAACGAGATGTTTTCGAATTTGTCAATACATTACGAAAACTACTTAACTCACCCCAGAAACGACAGTTATTCCCCCTTGTTAAACGTGTCATTCCACGGTCTGATATCCAGGCTTTTGAGTTACTAACAAAGGGAGGTAAACGCTACAGTACTCTCCCTCGTCCTGTTCTCTATCGGCCCCATGCAGCCGACATCGCTGTGTACAAGAAACAACATACCGGTAGCAGAACTCCGAGTCTTCATGGGAGTCTCCGAGATCGGCCTCGACATGCAATATCCAAGGTCAATGGCCTTGGACCACTCTCTAAATCTGAAGTTAAGGGTGAAGCATTACAGATCTACATCGGCCCACCAGCAGATGAGGAAGATGGTTTCGGGTTCACAATACGAGGTGGTGTAGAATACGGCCTTGGGATCTACGTATCGGCCGTAGATGAGGATGGGCCTGCGGACAATGAGGGTCTCAAGGCGGGGGACCTCATTACGGAAGCCAATGACATTTCATTTGAGAAGATCTCACACGAGGAGGCTGCGAAGGTAGGACATACTTTTTATCGTCTTAAGCTGAATGATGAACAGACTCTAACCAGACTGGAGACAGCTAGGTTGGTTTCTAAATTTGTTTTACATCACAAGCTACAAATGACACTTGAAAATCTGTTAACTGTGTAAAATTGGCAGTATGGAGTTGTGTTACACAGAATGCCTTCCTTAATGATCACTTGTATCAACATTGTATGATCATTGTATAATGATATATTCCATTGACCAATTCACTTTGAGACAAATGATGTGACAATAAATGTGTTAAGGTTTTAAAGACTGACTATTTAATACTCTATGTGGGAGGGCCAATCCACAAAGCATTTGTAGCAATACAATGTTTGTAAGCCTATAATAAACTACGCAGATATGATAGCTTGTAACAGTACAAACGCTTTCTGGATCAGGCCCTGGGAATTTCAGTTGTGAGTCAGAAAATGTGTGTATTCAATGCTTCATGACAGAGGAATCACACATATTTTGTATCAAAATTTATTTCAAGACATCCATTCCGTCCATCAACTAATCTTTTCTTTTTTAAAGCTCATGACAAAATTAAGTTTCTCAAAATGTCTAGATCAAATTACATTATTTTAAAAAGACTGAGCCCCACCCCTAGAATATCCAGTATAAGTGGCATGTTATGGATTACATCATGTACTGAGCTGCTGTCAGCTATATAAACAAACCACAGTACAGTCATCCAGGACATCTGTGCCGTGCTACCTGCAGCTGTACCTGCTGCCCTCACAGACATCCTGTCAATGATTTCTAATATCACAATAAATCATTACATTTTCATCCCGATCTTTCCTTATACATGTCATCCTGAAGATGATATTCTTTGTGAAATCTTCCATTATACTAAGGGGTGGTGGGGTAGTCTAGTGGTTAAAGCGTTCATTCGTCGTGATAAAGACCAAAGTTTGATTCCCCACATGAGAACAATGTGTGAAGTTCATTTCTGGTGTCCTCAGACATGATATTGCTGGAATATTGCTAAAAGTGGTGTAAAACCATACTCACTCACTCACATTATACAAAGCAACATCAGTGGACTATGAATGTTTGTTTTTTTATAAAGTGAGATGACAGAAGGAGTGAGTGAGTGAGTTTGGTTTTAATCACGGTGGAGTACACCAGAGATGGGCTTCACAAATTGTACCCATGTGGGGAATCGAACCGGGTCTTCGGCAAGACGAGCGAACGTTTTAGCCACTAGGCTACCCCACCACCCCAATGATGAGGGAAGGAAGTGTGATAATGTATTGTGGTGTAATTGTTATGAATTTGAAATATGCTCACTATTCCTCACCTTCATAATTTGCATCAACTGTAAAATCGGAAAAAATCATTTGTTAATTAGTTACATGGTAAATTTATTCATGGTAAATATTGGTTCTAGAGCTGTGTCGATATATCGTAGTATCGATAATCGTGATACTTTATCTGACGATAAATATATCGGTACGTTTTTTCGTATCGTGATATGTATCGTTGACCTTAAAATTGTTAATTTTCATTAGATATTGATGGTTATGTCAAAATTTCTTGCTATTAGCATATATTTTTTTAAAGAAAATAACTAAAGAAAGTATATCGTGATATGCATCGAATCGAATCGTATCGTTTCAAGATACCGCGATACGTATCGTATCGTGAAATTTCCATATCGTCACACCTCTAATTGGTTCACAGAAAAAACAAACCCTAACTGTGCCAAATTCATTTTAGTGAGTACAAGGTGTTGTATTTATGAAACAAAATGTGGAAAAGCTTTCTCAGAGCTAATTACTCATTATGTCTAGTGATGCACCTATTTTTTTTTTTATTAATCACTTTATAAATTGTTTTATGCTAAAATTTGATTATCTATCATGCAATCATAAAATTAATGAAAACAATTAACATACATTTCCTAAAAGAATTATGCTATGAAATGTAAAACTGTTTCTATAGTCCTGACATCAACCTTCTGAGACTGCAATTTTTATCTCGTAAAAAGCAGAAATAACAATTATCTATCGTGTGATTTGATAGTGATCCAGATACATGTATTACAATTCTGGAGGAGAAGTAGGTCCAGAGCACACTAAGCTGGTAAGATAGATTGGGGGGTCTGTGACCCTTTAGCCTAGTTGTGTCCTGGTCAGGATCATAAAGCATTGCTCATAATATCGACCACTGGTTTATCTGCTTCAGACATGAAACTGCTTGTACAGATCCCTAACATCAGCCAGGCTTACCCGTGAAGGTCCGGGTTAGAATATCGATCTTCAGTAACCCATTCTTGTCGTAAGAGGCGACTAATGGGATCGGGTGGTCAGGCTCGCTGACTTGGTTGACACATGTCATTGGTTCCCAATTGCGCAGATCGATGCTCATGCTGTTGATCACAGGATTCTCTGGTCCAGACTCGATTGTTTACAGACCTCCGCCATATAGCTGGAATATTGCTGAGTGTGGAATAAAACTAAACTCACACACTCACTCACTCAGCCAGGCTAACACAGTAAAAGATGCACAATCCAGTCATTACACACACCTCAGAAACATCAGCTTGTTTTACTGTGTACCAACATACCGAGGTTCATGGACTAACATTAGTGCCCCAAAATAAAGTGGTCATATCTAATAATATTTATCAAGAAAATCCAAATGGAGAGTAGAACAAAGCTTACATTCAGACCCAGAACTCAAGCAGTGTAAACTTTGCAAATCATTCTAGACATGAGTTGGGTTTATTTTATTTTTTTCTTCTGCAGATTTTTTGGAAAACTCTAGGCTCAGTCCAGTGAGCTCAATATAGGCTATTCAGAGATGTAAATACAATTTCTGATTATCTTCCTCAGATTATCCGTGCAGCGAAGCATTTGGAGCTGTGTATCTGCCGTGTGGGTAGGATCCCTGGCACCCATGTGGTACACCAGGCCTACAGCTGGGTGGATCCCCGGGGCAGGGCAGTGTCCCCGCCCCCGGAGCTGGAGCACATGGGCCCCCATCAGGAGGTGGGCAGTCTGCGGAGTAGGAGTGGGTTGATGCTGCTGAAGGGGAGTGATGAACGGAAGGTAGTGCTTTTCTCAAATACTCCAAACTCCACACAATCAGTTTTGGTTCTTTTTCGGAAAGTGGGCGGTGGGGTAGCCTCGTGGTTAAAACGTTAGCCCATCATGCCGAAGACCCAGGTTCTGATTCCCCACATGGGTAGATTATGTGAGGCCCATTCCTGGTGTCCCCCAACATGATATTACTGGAATATTGCTAAAGATGGCGTAAAACCATGTTCACTCACTCACTCACTTGAACCAACCCACCATCACCTGATTGTCAGAACTACCATTGTATAATAACCTGATTGTTGGAATAGCCATTGTATAATAACCTGATTGTTGGAATAGCCATTGTTTAATCACCTGATTGTCAGAATTATCATTGTTTAATCACCTGATTGTTGGAATAGGCATTGTTTAATGACCTGATTATGGGAATAGGCATTGTTTAATGACCTGATTGTCAGAATAGGCATTGTTTAATCACCTGATTGTCAGAATTATCATTGTCGAATCACCTGATTGTTGGAATAGGCATTGTGTAATCATCTGATTGTCAGAACTACCATTGTATAATAACCTGATTGTTGGAATAGGCATTGTTTAATGACCTGATTATCGGAATAGGCATAGTTTAATGACCTGATTGTCAGAATTATCATTGTTTAATCACCTGATTGTTGGAATAGGCATTGTGTAATCACCTGGTTGTCAGAATTATCATTGGGTTATCACCTAATAGTCAGACATATGTTTTTACAGGGGAATTAACTGTAATTCAATGAGTAACCAATGGTGTCTGTGGTTCAGAACAGACTCAAGAGTTATTCCCCTTTATGAGATAAAAGACTTAATTATATCCCTTCATGAAGAATTGTTATCATTAGAAATGACCAACATTTTTTTGTGGTTGTGATTATTTCAGTCAATTGCACATTTAAAGAGCTTTTCATATATCTGTAACACATGGTATGGTTTAAAAAACAAGGTCACATGACCCTCATACATTCGGGCGAGAAAAAATATTTGAACCCAGTTTGGTTGTGCACAGGGTATATTTCGTATAAAGCTTCAGATTTTAATGGGAATGTGTAGAAATCTGAGGGTGATCTCTCCCAAATAGAATGTACTGAATCCAAGGCACACATATGGGTCAAGTTGCAGTTTCCCCTATAGCAGAGATCAACACTCTGTGCAGCCTGTGGATAATTAAAATTTAATAATTAATTACCTTCAGCCCAGAAATGTTAAATAATTGAGCCCCTAGCAACCATCACAATTCTCTACACTGGGGAGAGAGGGCTACAAAGACGTGGGGGGTCAGGCATATTGTCCCTCACAATTAATCTATGGGCAGGGTGATCACTGGTCTGGGTGGGGGCTGGGGAGGGGTGGTGGTGGTAGAGAGTTCAGACATATTAACACACAATCAGGCTATGGGCAGGGTGATCACTGGTCTGGGTGGGGGCTGGGGAGGGGGGGGGAGGGGTGGTAGAGAGTTCAGATAGAGTAGACATACACACACATGAAGGCTATGGGCAGGGTGATCACTGGTCTGGGTGGGGGCTGGGTGAGGGAGTGGTAGTAGAGTTCAGATATAGTAACACACAATGAATATATGGGCAGGGTGATCACTGGTCTGGGTGGGGGCTGGGGAGGGGTGAGGTGGTGAGTAGAGAGTTCAGACATGTGCTTACAGTGAATCTATGGGCAGGGTGTGGGTGGTGGTAGAGAGTTCAGACATAGTAACACACAATGGCAATATATGGTCTGGGCAGGGTGATCACTGGTCTGGGTGGGGGGGCTGGGGGTGAGGTAGTGGTAGAGAGTTCAGACATAGTAACACACAATCAATCTATGGGCAGGGTGATCACTGGTCTGGGTGGGGCTGGGGAGGGGTGAGTGGTGGTAGAGAGTTCAGACATATTAACACACAATGAATATATGGGCAGGGTGATCACTGGTCTGGGTGGGGCTGGGGGGGGGGGTGAGTGGTGGTAGAGAGTTCAGACATAGTTAAACACACAATGAATATATGGGCAGGGTGATCACTGGCATGGAATGGTTGTAGGCTGTGACAGTGGAGGGACTAGTAGCTACTGTAGACAAGTAGGGAATGATGAAGTTATCATGTGAAACCTTATGATGCATGTTTGCTTCAAAATTCAATTTAGCAAGGTTAACTCGACAGGTCACCCTTTCTCTACATTAAAAACACAGTATGATTATAGGCCAAAGTAGGTTCACACAGTTTTCAGTATATCTTCATGTGTATATATACAGGTTAGGAACTGTTGACGATAGTCTGATGTCTTTAAATGTTCAAAAATGTTTTTTAGTGTTTCCAAGGCAACAAATTTGTCATTGTTTTATTGATGTTATGATTTGTTTCAGTGCATAACTCACAAACTGTTTGTATTTGTTCATGAAACTTTGCACATGATATTGACCTGAGATACCCTGCTATTCCTGTGTTAATGTTTTGTATTTCCACAGTACAATATTAGATTTTGTTTGAATGAAGGTGAGTTTGTTTTCTAGAAGATAAGACATAAAATATTCAATATTTCTTCACAATATTTATTAACACATTTGGTAGGTGACTGAAGTGTTGTATATTGATATTCAGGTTTTTGCTGATAATAACAAGTGGTTAGGAAGGTAGTATTACTTTCTGATGCGTGAAATGTGTCACTATTTATTTCAAGCTACTAAAGTGCTATATCTAAACTTTACGCCTATATTCTACATTAGCTACAGGACCTAGTGATATTTTTTAGTTGATAGATTGTGTTGTGTGAAGAAACAAGCACTCATTGATCAGTGTTTGAAACAGCTGGTTGTCACAGATAGTTGTACCGGGCTCGTCAGTGGCAGCACAAACCCCTACTGCACGTGTTGCCTGCGTATACAATGTTCCACAGTACAGATTGTCAAATGTAGTCTGAACTAGGGCAGAATTGATTAATATATGGAGAATATGCTCACTCAATGCTGAGTGAAAATAACTTGTTTTTAGAATGGTTCTGTTATCAATATTTGGTATCTTGATCAGTTTGTAAAGAGTTTTTTCCTGAAATCTATTGTATGACATAATTGTATAAACTGATCAATCATTTGTTAACAAGGTTATTGAAAGTTGGTGGGTTTTTCAATTACTTTTATTTCACATTTTTAAAATATTTTCATGAAGAAATTTTGTTGTCAACCTGGCAACCCAGCTAGTGACTACATTTGAAATTGTCAGTTAAGTATGATTTGAGTAGAAAAAAAATAACTAGTAGCACATTACCAGCTGTCAGTGGTAGCTGGAATAACAGGAATAAAAACCTTCCAACTTCTTGTCAGTACATATGCAACTAATCTTAAGTCCCTGTACAGACATGTATTTCCCTCACAACATGGCCCAATACACATTATAAAGAGGTTTTAATGCTTAGGTATAGATTACTGCCTACAAACTGGTGCAGAGAATACAGTCTGGAACTATCTCAGAACTTAAGACGTAAGAAAATCCAAATGCTGAAGAAAGTAATTATTTTTCCAAAATTTTAGTGCCAGTGGAACCAAGTTGAGAATCCAAGTTAAATTCTGTGGATGTTTCTCTTCTAGTTCTAGACTGACATTTAGTTCCAGAAATAATGTTATGTTATTTTAAATAAACAAAAACAAAACAAAAAAGATATAATCTAAATGGATCCTAAAACAGACTTCATATTCCTGGAACTGAATGAACTAGTCTACACTTGCCAAACAATTCCCAAACAAGATTTCAGCTGGACACCTTTTTAATATTTTCTCTGAAGTCTGCCAAACAGCCTATCCCCATTCCAGTATTTAAGAGAGCTGTGAGAGAGCTTCCTCCATTATTCTGCATAGTGTTTGACTCTACACTCCACACACTGATGTTATCTCTGTCATGTCTGATGCAGGGGAGAAACTTTGATAAGTTCTACAGCTATATTAAACAATATGTACAAACATTTAAAACTTTCCCAGTCCTATGTAAACAATACACTTTCTTCAGATGTTATCTCTGCAACTCATAACACCCAATCAACTACAACATTCGTGATACACTGATGTTCTTTCTCCGGTATTATTTATTATATATACTAATGACTGTCTCAAGGTTTTCTCTTTGCAGATGATGCCTTTAGGATTTATAGGCACTTGGAGAATGACTATTGCAAATCACAAGATTCCTTGATTGGTGTAACATCAAGTTCCTTAAATTAAATGTTATTAAGAAAAGTAACAGTGAGCTGTTGCCAATTGCCATTGATTTATAGATAGGCACTCTGAGAAGCTCACCTTAACAGTAATATTGATTACATACAAGAAAAAGACTAATGTTCTGAAATCACAAAATTTCTTGATTGGTGTAACATCAACTTCCTCAAATTAAATGTTAAGAAAACAAAAGAGATGGTAATGGATTTTCAGAAAAGTTAAAGTGAGCTGTTGCCAATTGCCATTGATAACGAAACCATCAACCTAAAATGCAGCAAATTGAAAACAAAACACGTACAATTTTAAATGACAGCATTTTTTTTTTTATCTATCTATCTATCTATCTATCTATCTATCTATCTATCTGTCTATCTATCTATCTATCTATCTATCTATCTATCTGTCAGGAGCACATTAATGAGTTTGGATATTTCTTAGCTGCATCTGACCCATTACACTGATAACCCCCAACCCCCCAAACAAACAAATATGGACATTTGTAGGTATTTAGCCCTACTTGTGCTCACTCTTGGATGAGATTTTCTATATATCCACAGAAATGGTTTGTGAGTTGACTGTGGTGTATTTACAGGTGAACGTAGTTGTTGACAAGGGTGAGTGTCTGGGGCTGATGATCCGTGGGGGCCGTGAGTTCGGTCTCGGTGTCTACGTGTCCGGCATCGACCCCTTCTCTGTGGCAGAGAATGCAGGCATTAAGGTAATGTTCTCTAGTTTTATTGTATTTAGTGAACATTGGCCCTGTTGTTAGTGTCTTAGTTCTAATGACTAAAAGTCGAGTGAGTTATGTTGTGGAGAGTTCGCCTGTCATTTGCATGCATTTTCTACATCTCCTGAACCCCAAAACCTTTAAAGCGGACACTTTTGAGTAAATGATGTCAGCTATGGTGTCTCTTATAGTAGCAAAGAGAACGCTGGTTTGAGTTTCCACATGCCTACAAGGGCTCTTTTGCCCTGTCATTTATGCATGTGTCATTATGGAATTACACATACAAGAAGTACATGTATTATAGAAACAAGGGGTCTTCTTTGCCATTTGGAGAAATTTTAAACTTTGTGAAAGTAGTGGAATAGCACTGGGAAGTGTACCTGATGTTAGATATAGAGGAGAAGCTCATTCTCCCCATGGTTATTGAGGGTGGAGCATTGAATGTGTTGATTACATTAACATCAGATGCTTGGTCATAGGTGGGGGATCAGGTGCTGGACGTCAATGGCCGCAGTTTTCTGGACATCAGTCACTCGGAGGCTGTGAGCATCTTGAAGACTGGACGCCACATGATGATTACAGTCAAGGATGTTGGGAAGCTGCCATTTGCTAAAACAACCATTGACAAGACACAGTGGTTGCCACGTGACAGACTCCCCAATCAGACAGGATCAATTAATGCAAGGTACCATCTTTGGCAGGTTTGGACAGATGCACCCAATATCAGTTGTATTAAGGACCAGTGATTTTGAGATTGAAGCTGTCTGACTGGCTAAAACGTGATATTCAGCCTCCTGAGATTACTGTGCTGAAAAGTTTTGATCATAACTAGGATTGTATTGAAGACGTTGTGTCCATTTTCATTAACAGAGAATACCTAGTCACTTTGACACCTGCAGAAATATGCTCCTAGTGTAGTTTGTTCAAATGTATTTGTGGGGCGGTGGGGTAGCCTAGTGGTTAAAGCGTTCGCTCGTCACGCCGAAGACCTGGGTTCCCTGCATGGGTACAATGTGTGACGCCCATTTCTGGTGTTCCCCCCTATGATATTGCGGCATTAAACCATACTCACTCACTCAAATGTATTTGTAATCATGAAAAGTGTTTGTGCTATACACATGCATACTGTTATGTATGTATTATTATATTATTATTATTATTATTATTATTATTATTATTATTATTATTATTGTATTATCCATCCTTGATATTTAGGCTCAGAACTTTTCAGCCACTCTTCATACAAGTGTTCTGCAACAGAGTGTGTTGTTCCAGCTCTGGTATACAAGCCAATGTTGTTGTGGTTCCAGGTTGTCGTCCAGCATGGGCAGCTTGGACAAAGTGGGGCTACAGAACCACCAGGACGGACACTCCCGGGTAAGTGGACATGATACTCCAGGAATATCCCGTGTCAGCTGACCTCATCCTGACAAGGGGCGGTGGGGTAGCCTAATGGTTAAAGCGTTGGCTCGTCACGCCAAAGACCCGGGTTCGATTCCCCACATGGGTACAATGTATGAAGCCTATTTCTGGTGTACCCACCATGATTGCTGGAACATTGCAAAAAAACAGAATTAAACTAAATTCACTCAAACTTACTCACAAACCCCAGAGCCTTCTCTGAAATATTTTCCCCCCCTTACCTTTGGATTTAATGATTTATGTGCATACCCGTTCTCCAAAATCCTGGATCCAACCCTGAGCCCATGCTAAATGTTTGACCATTACTATTCCAAGCCTACTTTCAGTGCTGAATGGGAGAGGACTCTGCCACACATCGATAGTTCAGTCGGAGAACGTTTTACAAAATGGACATCTGTGTTCCTGTGTTTGCTTGTATGACCTCGGCCATTGCCTTTCAAATTTTGAGTTATTCTAAAGCCAAGAAAGGAGGCTTGAATTCTAAGGGTGGAAAACTATGCTTACATATTGGCTAGTGGAAACTCTTGCTTCTGGAAGATGGGTACCTCATTCATTGTCACGTGGTCTATCAGGCTATGTAGACCTTCTACATATGCATATACAAAAAGTACTAGGTAGATTAGCCCAAGTCTGTTTCTCAACTAATATCACACAACATTTAACCTTTTCCTAACGAAACCACATTAAAGGGGATAATTGTATCTCACTTTAATGGGTAGATCTCAGCACACTCAATGTCAACCTTTAGTTTGCCAGCATCTAACTTATATTTAGGTGTAAAACTGCTAAACTTACTGTCAATGGCATTCACTTACACATGCATTCTCCCTTCAGTTTGGCTTCAGCAAGGGAGCAGGGTCACAGCTGATGCGGAATACGACGACGTCCTGGCCTCAGAAAGATGTCATCGAACAACATGCAAGGATCCTGCTCAATAGCAAAGAGCAGACAACTCTGCGGTACTATCTGAGTGAACATCAGAAGGGTACCATCCAGACAGATGGCCTGGTGTTTGCTCTGTTTGAACTTCTCAACACACAGGCCAAGGTAGGACAGTGTTAACACATAGATATCATACAATTATAAACTTTACGTCCGGGCAGTTCCTGGTTTTGTGGATTCAAAGACATTGCCCCCAAGAAAATGTACATAAATCAATAATTATTTTATTATATATAAGGGAAAAAAGAGATTCAGTATATGAACTATGTTGGTTAAAATAAGGCTAGGCAATTCCGAGAAACAGTTATATGTGATTGGCTTAGGTTTGGTTAATTCCATCTCGGTATTTCCCAAGTATTTTCAGTAACTTAAGTCAATACTGTAAATTATCATTATTATATATTTTTATGCCCCCACCATATATGGCTGGGGCATATAGGGTTACCCTCGGTGTCCGTCCGTACGAAACAAGGAATGTATTCTATCCACTTCTCCACCATAACCGCTCTTTGGAATTCAATGAACTTATACATGGGCTTTCTTGGGACTCTAATGGTGTACATCTCATATTTTTTTATATATTTTATTGTTTTTTTTGGGTAAGTTTAGAGACATTTGAACTTAGGTACATTTTGCTGAATTTCTCTATGATGATAGTGTAATAGGGGATGAAGTCTATCCACTTCTCCACGGAATTGAATGAACTTCTACATGTCTTTTGTAGGGACTCTAAAGGTGTTCATTTCATAATTTTTTATGCAATTTCTTAATTTTGTCACTTTTACAGATGTTTGAACTTAGTTGATTTTTGTTCTATTCAGCCTGTTCGTTCCATCCAACAGGGCGTGTACGTTATCCACTTCTCCTCAAAAACTACTTTATGGAATTCATTTAGATTACACATGTGCTTTATAGGGACTCTAAAGGCGTGCATCTCATATTTTGATTTTGTATTATTTTTTTTTTTCCAATTTTAATGCTTGTTTGAGTGGCATTTTAGAAGTTGAGACGTACAATATATAACAAGTTTTATGGATAACAACTTCTTTATTTTCGTGAGTGCGACGTTTCGATACAGATTCTTGTACCGTTGTCAAGCAAGAGTGATACATGAAGTGTAGGAGCTGCATATATATACTGTATATAACAATGAAACAACATAATAGACAAAGGAAACAACATAATTGCCATGATTGGCTAAGCAGTAAGCTGATGAAGCCAGTAAGTACATAAAGGATGGTGAATGGAAGCCAGAGATGTAGTTACAATGAGATGTTTATACAATGGATGCGATGTTTATACAATAGACTGGGCTTGGTGGAGGAGTGGATCATAAGCAGATGGAATGAAGTATCCTTGGTCACGGTTGATGGTAGGCTTGTGGCGTTTGATGTGAATGGCTTCTGTGAGCTTCGCGTTTAGTGAAGTCCGTTTGGTTGTTGGCGAGAATGGTGATGTCGGACCACTCTATTTGATGATTGGGGTTGGCTTTGATGTGGTCAGAGATAGCTGATTTGGTGTCGGAATTAGCAACAGAGGTGCGATGTTCTTTCACTCGGGTGTTGATGGGTCGGGATGTTTCACCTATGTAGCATTGTCCACAATCACAGTCTATTTTGTAAATAACACATTTCGGGTTGTTGTTGTTGACGGTGGGTTGTTTTCTTCCGTTGGCATGGAGGAGGTTGTTGAGGCTGGAGGACGCTGAGAAGGTAGTGTCTATTCCTGCCTGTTGTTTCAGGAGTCGGCTGATTTGGTGTGATGGTTTACCAATGTAGGGAATGGATATCTTGATGGGGGCTGATTCTGGTTTAGACAATTATGTTGTTTCCTTTGTCTATTATGTTGTTTCATTGTTATATACAGTATATATATGCAGCTCCTACACTTCATGTATCACTCTTGCTTGACAACGGTACAAGAATCTGTATCGAAACGTCGCACTCACGAAAATTTTAATGCTGTTTGAACTTAGATAACTTTTGTTGAATTTCTCTCTGAATATAGTGTTATAGGGGAGTGAAGTCTATCCACTTCTCCACAAAAGCTGCTCAACAGAATTGATTGAGCTTCTACGTGTGTTTCATTGGAACTCTAATGGTATGCATCTCATACCTTGTTCATCCAATTTCTTAATTTTGTCACTTCTACAGATGTTATAACTTAGTTGAATTTGGTTCTATTCATCCTTTTAGTCCCAAACAACAGGGGGTGTGCTTTATCCACTTCTCCACAAAAACCACTGCACAAAACTCATTTAGCTTACATATGTCTTTTATAGAGACTCTAAAGGTGTGCATCTCATATTTTGTTTTAGTATTTTATATTTTTTTTGTATGTTTAGAGACATTTGAACGTAGATAAATATTGTTGAATTTCTCTCTGATGATAGTGAAATAGGGGATTAGGTCTATCCACTTCTCCACAAAAACTGCTCAACAGAATTGATTAAGCTTATACGTGTGTTTCATTGGGACTCGAAAGGTGTGCATCTCATAGTTGCATAGATGTCTATTGAACTTGTTCGTGCATTTTGTTCAATTATTGATCTTTATATGATAATAGGTTGTGTTATCTATCCCCTCAACACATTGTTTGTAGTGTTTTCAAGTACTTCAGTGGGACCCTGAATGTGTGAACTCTTCCTATAGCAGCAGGGGCATCCGTGTCGCTGGACACAATTTTTTCTTGTTTTTATTGTTATTGGATATTTATATAGGACATGATTTAGCATCAGTACCCAGTCCAGTTATACGTGACCACATCTTGGACAATCAATATAATGAATTTAAGTCTTTGCATTGTGTACGAATCTTGTTTATGAAGATAAAGCCAACGTATGAAACCAATGCATTGCTATGATGAAACTCTGCAATGGGCTTCTTCACAGTGATAGACTTTGCCTGAATTAGCAAATTTAATCAGCACAACATAAAGTTTATATGAGGACATTTTCCTTCTCTCAACAGTTTACTCTATTGACTGAAATTCGTCCCTTGATCAACCTCCGAGACTTGTCACGATTTGACCGACTGGTCCGCAAGAAAGAAGCGCAGATGATCCGGGTAGGTACTAAACTGAGACTTATTGAGACTGGGATGTTGTGCACCTTTAGAAAACTTTATCGTACCACATCAGGGAAAATAATGGCATAATTTGGTTAGGGTCAGTATGCAATAAAAAAACAGAGACTTGAACACTGAGATAGTGTGAGCAGACAGAGGCGGCAATTATTAAGTGCTTAAATTCACAATTTTTCACATCATTAGTTAAATTTATTCAAGCTGTTATTCAGAAAGATCTTCAAACTTATATACTGGTGCTTGCAGACGCGAGTTTTCAGTTTGTCACAATCTACTGTACTGAGGGCCGTGTGATGGGCACAATATAATCTACATATCTTATAAAATATTTCCTCTGGGAAAAAGAACTTGTGACTTATTCTCAATGTGTACAAGCCTGTTTAGCCCCTAAGCCAATACACCTTCCAGTGACAGATCTGTGAGGAATCCAGGTTAGGGTGAGTGAGTTAAGATTTATAGTCACATCAGCAATATTTCAGCCATATTGTGAGTGATTTCAGGCTACCCAGCAACCAAATCTAGTTGTAGGACTAAATTGATTAGAGGTTCAGGGTCCTGTAAGGAGTTTGTAACGTTACAACGTCGTAGTTTACCATCTGTTTATAAATGTAAGTCGGGACTGGGACCCAGGCTCGTTGACTTGGCAGATTGCATGCCATGAGATCTGTGTGTGGATTGAATGTGACGATATCATTCACAGGATTGTCTGGTCCAGATTCAGTTATTTACTGACAGCCATCATACAGCTGGAATATTACTGTTTCGTTCAGCAATAAACAATAATTAAAGAAACGCAAGTGATACATCTTACTCAAAGTATAAAATGTTTTGAATGAGTGTTACTCATTGCCAGGACAACGACGACTGTGCTATGATCCCCGACACCTTCTCCATGTTGTCCTTCGAGAGCACAGAGGCTTACATAGAGGACCGCTACAAGAGGACGCTGTTCTCATCAGAGGTAACATTGTCAGATTTGTCCTCAACCTGTACAGATACATCTGCCCGCTATCCTACATTACACATACCTCGGGAGCTGAGAATAAGGTTTGAGTGCTCACTGCTCTAAAATAATGCACTTATTTGAGCTTTGAGGCGGTGCATTTGGAGCAATTAAAATATGAATTACTGACAAATTTATGGACAACTTCTTCTTTATTTTGTGAGTGTGACATTTCGGTACAGATTCTTGTGCAGTTGTCTGGCTGGAATGATGGTACAACGGTACAAGAATCTGTGATGATACAATGGTACAAGAGTCTGTGATGATACAATGGTACAAGAATCTGTGATGATACAGTGGTACAAGAATCTGTACAGAAACATCACACTCATAAAAAAAGAAGATGTTGTCCATACATTTGTTGGTATGGAGCTTCCCAACTTCTAAAATGCCACTCAAAGAAGTTAAAAGATGCATGTTATTATAGATATGTTAAATAATATGTTTGTTTTTTTCCCTCTGTGATAGGCAAACTATGGAAAACATGAACTAGAATAAACCATTAATAATGAAATATTGTGTCTCTCACTATAAATATAACAATGTTGACATTTGGACATTTCCCAGCAAACAAAGCATACAATTTCTTCAGCGACAATGGCGTCCTTTGGGGCTTATTTATCAATACTATTCATTGACAAAATGGTCCATATGACCCAGACTATAAGTCAATATTGGATCCGACTATAAGTCGGGTTAAACCTTTCTCAACCCTCTAAATTCTTGCCAAAACCATGTAACTCAAGTATAAAACTTAAAAGCATCTTTCCCGTCCCAAATCGGTATCGCCGCGCCTCAATCTTCAAAACCATGCTTTCGGACCGCGATGTTTAATCGCGAAAATATATGCATGAATCATTTTTGTCACAGGTCATAACCTAGCACGATCGTCAAATAAATCCATAATTTACGTATAGGTAGCGATTTCTTGCTTAATATGTTCAGAATAGCATTATTTTACCCAAAACTTTTCGTCTACATCTAAAGTTTTTTTAGTTTCACGAGGGCGGTATCCATTGCCGTAATATGATTGGCTGCCTTAGGTCCGCGTGTCTGGTTTTGACCAATCCGACCCTTATATTATAGCAGACTGTGGCGAAAAGCGTCATTAGAAACCAATTTTTATCCAATAAAATTGCTTCTTACAAGTGTGAAAAATACTCTCGGCAAGGGTACAGTGATATTGTTGATGTTCAGAGCTTTTCGAGCGATGCCCGACATCAAGCGATTAAGCCTCGCATGTTATTCATCTGAAGCTTAGAAGCGGAGGTATTTTCCGTTGTTGTGTCATGTTACCGGCGAAAAGCCACTGATATCGGGGAAATAAGCGACCATACATATTATTTAAGAAATCTTTTTATAATAATTTTCTGATCACGTAAAATGAAAATATAAAGAAGAGGTCCGCGGGCATTTTATGACATGTCACAAATGGAAAAAAATCGCTATAGTTTTTGCTTCTTTCGTGGTTTATCTGGATATAAATGTAAACTTGCATTTTCATCATTAACAGTATTTTTCAAAACCACCACACAAAACTGCCACAGAATACAAATAAGTTTACTTTCGTTGAAACAAATTAGGTGTCACGTGGCCCAACTTTATCGTAGCGATAACAAAGTACCGGTAAGTGCATAGCTGTGATAAAAATATCTGATTAAATTTAATTTATTGTTTATACTATGAAATATATTTTACAAAAGACAAACAACAAAGTTTTATATTTTATGTTTTATTTGTCCCACGATGTCATTTACCTTTGGAAACGTTGTCAGTACGTATATGCGTCCTGCTTCCGGTGTAAACATTGCCAGTTGAGTTCGCAGGGCTGGCAGATTCACACACCTGACCTCGGGATTTTTTTGGGTAGATTAATGAACTCAAGTATAAGTCGGGTCTGATTTTTTTACCTTCATTTTCTGGTATCAAATTTCCGACTTATAGTCGGTCATATCTGTCGATACTTAAAAGCAATGTCATTATTTAGCGTTGACAGAATTTCTTACTGTGATATAGATATGTCGTTGTCACAGACAAAACTCAATGTCTTGTTTTATTTACACCTGTGTGTCTGCCTGCCTGTCTGCTAATGACAATATTCAATACACAACTGCGATCACTGACCACATGCAATTTGAACTTAACACCAATCAGGCTATACACCATAAACAAAACGCATTGATTTATGGCCCGAGTTGGGTCTCTGTCACATTATGTAATTACACAGACAGGCAGGTGTGATACTTGAACACATGACATGTTATGATGTCTGTTGATTGCAAAATGTTATACACAAAAATGAGCATGTATTTACAAAACCCAACATCTCTATATATACACACACAATGAGCCGTGAGGGCATCTGCAAATGAACCAGCCGTTACACTTGAGTGCACACCCACCCGCTCTGACTGGGTTCGGTATCCCGGCTGCTTCGTTTCTTGGGAAGTAAACCCAAGTACGCAATATTGCACTTTTGATTTGCGATTGTACGCTTATAATTTTGTTTATATGTTTTTTCATAACCAGCAATGTATATTATATGTCATGAATAAGTGATAATTGTGTTTTAATTATGTTTGATTTTTTGGTTGCATGTGACCTTTAACAATGTCTAGAAAATTGCCAAAAGGGCACAGATACAAGTAAAATTGTGGTCAGCAATCAAGTTGTGTAGACAAACAACAGTCTGATGTTTGACGTTGGAGCAGGACAAGGGATATGGTAGAATTGTTTCATCAGACAGGAGGTGAAATATAAAGTAGAGATTTAAAGTTATTTAAAATACAAAATTACAATGTTTATGATAAAGAATTTCAAAATGAATGCAAGATAAAATTGAAATTCGTTCAAAAATATTTAAATGGCATTAGTTCTCACCAAGTAATGTTTCTGCATTTAATAATAATAATAATAATGTCCACTTGTATGGCGGCCGTTTCCACACACTAGTGTATGCTCATGGGGCCCGTGTGTAAAGCTAAAAAACTGCAGCAATTGTACAAGTCATTCGTAATATTTCCTGAAGATTTGAATAAGTCAAGAGATTTTGCTGTTTTGATGGTTATGGGAAGACTGTTCCACAGTGAAGGAGCAGCATAGCTGAATGATCTGTGACCATAGTTCTTGAGATTGACAGGGGGTGTTGCTAGGAGGAACTGTTGGTGTGATCTCAGCTGTCGTGGTGGTGTGTACACTGAGATGAGTTCAGAGAGGTACTGAGGCGCTAGGTCATGTAGACATTGGAACACAATGGTCAAGATCTTGAATTCGATTCTGGCTTGGATGGGCAACCAGTGAAGAGACTTTAGGACAGGGGTTATGTGAGATCTTTTAGATGTTAGGGATACAATGCGGGCTGCAACGTTTTGGATTTTCTGGAGTTTTGTCAAGTGTGCAGAGCTGAGTCCAAACAGAATGCTGTTTGAATAGTCCAGTCTAGATAGAACGGGAGACCTGTAAAGTTGGGTTGCTTATCCAGTAATCTGCGTGGCCTTGTCTGTTTTACAGAAATCAGAACGGCGGCAGTCAGTGACGACGATGGAACCCATGATGCTGCATCCGCCCCTGGATCACTTCGACAGAGATGTGGTAGGTAACACTGGCTCAGGGTCATCATGTAGGTCTCCAAATATGTACCCAGGGTGAAATCAGAATGTATACGAATGAGAGTGTGAACATTCCAACAACTCACCACTAACACCAATTTCAGAGTTGTCAAACTGTTGTCGAGAAATAGGATCGGTCCGGTCTCTATTTTCACTAACTTTTCCATCAAACTTTTGGTATTGTCAAACTTGAGTTTGTCGTGTGAAGTGTTGTCAAACTCGATTTGTTCAGAAAGAACCAATCGCAGTCAACAAAATTATCATGTGACCGCACCAATAGAGACATGGCGCTCAAATGACACGAAAGTTTGACATGTGTTTGAGGTGTGAAAACGCGAGTTTGACAACTGTTGAAATTTTAACAACATGTGTTCTCAAACTTAGGTTTGCCGTATGAAGGCCGCTTTAGAGTTCAGCTCTTGAACTTCAGCTAGTGCGGATCTTTTGGTTAGAATAAATCCTCATAGAGTTATGCTGTTTATAAGCAGTGACTCAATCTTACAGGTGGTGTGTCTCTGTAGCGTAGTTCACTGCATGTCGTTGTAACCTGATGGCACAATGCTCACTATATCAACCACTGGATTAAATGGTTCAGACTTTATTGTTAATAAGCTGCAGTCTTATAGATGGATTATTGCTGATTGTGGCGTTAACATCAAGCAAAAAAAACCAAAACATTTTCAATCCATTCAGTTGTGCACAAATATTGACACTAGAGCTGTGACGATATATATCGTAGTATAGATATTCGCGATACTTTATCCGACGATAAATATATCGATACTTTTTTTCACTAGAAATTGACAAGTATGTCAAGATTTACATTGTTACTTGCTATCAAAATATGCTTTCTTCTTTTAAGGAAATAACTAAAGATAGCATATCATGATATGCATCGAATCGAATCGTATAGTCCCAAGATATTGCGATTCGTATCATATCGTGAAATTTGTGTATCGTCACACCTCTAATTGACACTATAAATCGAGTGAGTGAGTTAAGGTTTACGCCGCACTCAGCAATATTCCAGTCATATGGCGGTGGTCTGTTAATAATCGAATCTGGACCAGACAATCCAGTGATCAACAGCATGAGCATCAAGCTGTGCAATTGGGAACTGATGACATGTGTCAACAAAGTCAGCGAGCCTGACCACCCGATCCCGTTAGTCGCCTCTTACGACAAGCATTGGTTACTGAAGATCAATATTCTAACCCGGACCTTCACAAGTCGACCCTATGATTAAATACAGAAATAATGTCATGTTGTCACATTACTGTTGGTAAGCTATGATGTCACAAAAAGGTGAAATATGCTGAATAGGTAAACTCAATCAGTCATAAGGAAAGACATATCTACCTCTGTCTGGATTTATCATACATTATTACCATCTAAGATATTAAATACTATTGCCTTACCCTTCTCAAGTCTTTATAAGAATGATGTTTGTATATTGCTAAACAGTTTTATGAATGGTGGAAGTTTTAAACTGATCTGTATGTGCCAGTCCCCACAGAGACACGAGGAGTCCCTGCGAGATGCTCTGGAACAGCTGCATGGAGAGAACGGACATCCCGAAGTGAGTGTAGATGGATGCGTGTGTGTATTCAGATCCATGCTGTGACTGGGGTGAGGTCAGGGGGCAGGTTTACTGATACGATGATATTAAACGCTATTGACCAAGGATTGGTCACCATATTTTGTAATTGGTATACAAAGGTATAGTTGTAGGAACAACAGGTGAAACAGATGTAATACTGCATGCCCTCAATCTGTGATTTGTTTGATTGGCATTTTAGAAGTTGATGAATAAAAAGAAAAGCATTATACTTCATTATATAATAAAACAGCTGTAATCCATAAAGCATCACTACCTTTCTTATCCTCTGTCTGAGAGCGGAAGGTCGCGGGTTCGATCCCCGACCGCATCATACCAAAAGACGTTAAAATATGGTACTTGTTGGTCCCTGCCTGGCAATCGGCTTTAATGGGTACAACAAGGACTGGTCGGCTTGGAGTCAGTATAATGTGTCTGAGTGGGGTATTCATGCTTCACTGCGGCATGGTATCTCAGTCAGCTAGCACTATAAAACCAGCTAAGGTCTGGGCTAGTACAAGCAGCCGCACATACACATACACATGCATGCACGTCGTCATATGAGCGAAATATTCTCAAGCTCCGTTAAACCCAATTTCACCTCACCTCACCTTATCCTGTCTGAGAACAGACTTATATGTAACACATAGTACACACATGTATAAAGTGAACATTTCATGCAAACTGCTTATCTAACTCCAGGGGTCTTTGTAGTTGTGGAGGTGCATTGACATCAGTAATTTTTGCATAAAGTTTTTTTTTGCCAATACATTATTGAATTATATTTTTATAATTTTATAAGGTGATAAGAACCCAATATATATGCAATGAGGTTGCCAAGCAGGATGTATTTATCTGTGTTCTTCGCTGATGTTTAAGTTGTTTAAGAAGTCCTGTTGAATTAGACATTGATACATGCTGCCAATGTGATCATCCCTTATAGGAGAGTTTTGGATCAGTTATCTGTTTTGTGATGGTTAATGCCATCTGTATTCTGCATCTATCTATCTGACATATTTCAGGAGGACAACCTCAGCTTTCAAAGTCATTCAGATTCCCATGGCCCCTACCTTCACACGCCAAGGGCAACCATCCACAGGTCAAGGTCAAGGTCAAAATCTCCAAGGCCTTCTGTGAGGTCATTGAACATGGAACCAGTTCCTTCAACCTCAAAAGCATCTCAGCAAGAGCACATCGTCACAGCACAAGTTCATCATCCAATCAGACTTGCATCTCAGATGTATCTTCCTCCTGTTAAACACAAGGTGAAGGTCATAAAATGTTTTCATATTCTTGTCTCTTTTACCTAATAGTTTTATTGCCTTTGAATTTCTCCTTGCAATGTAAGTTCTCATGTAGTCTGCTGAAAGTACCTCTCAGGGGCTGGCTATTTAATTACTGGCTGTGGAGAGACAGTTTTTGTTTCACAAAAGGTATTCTCCTTGATTTCACCAAAACAACAATAATAATGTTTGCTTGACATTTGATGATCTGAAAAATACATGTGGGGAACTTGTCATGACAGCCAGAAGTTTTATGTATGTCTTAAAGCAGTGTTCTAAATACACAACGGAATGTTAAATACTTACTGGCTAATTTATTCTTTCTCTTGCCCTGTTTCAGGGAGAGGACAATCCAAGTGATGACAGCGGGGTTGAGATTCATGCACATTTAAACAGTCTTCCAGTAAACAGTACCGACAGGTATGTCATATAATATGCATTAGGAAAATAGCATTTGAAGTGGTATGGCATGTGTTCTTGTGCCATGTTTTAAATTATATCAAGAAATCGTTTAATGTTTGTTACAGTTATTTGTTTCAAACTGAATAAGACATTCTGAAATTATATTTTAAACTATTGTCAACATAGAATTAAAGTGTTTTGTTCACTGTAGTGTTTTTCCTACTAGTTAAAGCTTCAAGAGAACTCTTCTTATGCTCTGTTAGCAGCTTGACTGTAGTGGTTTATTCAACAGAGTATTTCAATCTGGTTTTTTTCTAAAATGAGTAATATGTCTTTAAATGTTAAAGGCATCATGGAATGGAAATCAGAAAAAGGTTTGATAATTTTGCTTCAGTTTTTGTGATTTCTTAGTATGCAGACTAGTTGTGTTGAATTGTGTTTGCAAAAGTGGAACCTGTCTGAACTGGACACTAATACAGAATTTGTCATGCAGTTTACGTTAGTTAAAGTTGTCTCTCATAAAAATAACAATCATCTAAAACCTTTTTTATGTTGAAAAACAATTTACCAAAACCCAGTCTCAAGGTACATTCATTACAGAGACTAAATGATAGCCCCTAGTCATTACATTAAGTCTATTACTTTATACAGCTTTAAGTTCATTTGAGACCTACTAATAATGCAATTGAAAGGACCCTATTTCTTCCAGTTGTTACCTCCCCTGAACAAGACGTTTATCTGCTTTATTGATATGCTGCTTTATCCTTTAGCTTTATCCTTTAGCTTTATCCTTTAGCTTTATCCTTTAGCCCCCCACCCCCCCAAACCCCCAAAAACCCTGAACAAACACAACTGATTTTGTAATTTAATTATTTAGGTTATGACAGTATCGGTAACACAGACCCTTCCTAGTCAAGCTGATGTGATCCCAGCATTTTGTGTATATCAGAAAAGTTGATTGATTTCCGGTTGCCTCTCTGTGGGGTTGACTCTCTGAGGGGTTGACTCTCTGTGGGGTTGCCTCTCTGTGGGGTTGCCTCTCTGAGGGGTTGCCTCTCTGTGGGGTTGACTCTCTGTGGGGTTGACTCTCTGTGGGGTTGCCTCTCTGTGGGGTTGCCTCTCTGTGGGGTTGCCTCTCTGAGGGGTTGCCTCTCTGTGGGGTTGCCTCTCTGAGGGTTGACTCTCTGAGGGGTTGACTCTCTGTGGGGTTGACTCTCTGTGGGGTTGACTCTCTGTGGGGTTGCCTCTCTGAGGGGTTGCCTCTCTGTGGGGTTGCCTCTCTGAGGGGTTGACTCTCTGTGGGGTTGACTCTCTGTGGGGTTGCCTCTCTGAGGGGTTGCCTCTCTGTGGGGTTGCCTCTCTGTGGGGTTGACTCTCTGTGGGGTTGACTCTCTGTGGGGTTGACTCTCTGTGGGGTTGACTCTCTGTGGGGTTGCCTCTCTGTGGGGTTGCCTCTCTGTGGGGTTGACTCTCTGTGGGGTTGACTCTCTGTGGGGTTGACTCTCTGTGGGGTTGCCTCTCTGTGGGGTTGCCTCTCTGAGGGGTTGCCTCTCTCTGTGGGGTTGCCTCTCTGTGGCTCTGTGGGGTTGACTCTCTGAGGGGCTTGACTCTGTGGGGTTGACTCTCTGTGGGGTTGACTCTCTGAGGGGTTGACTCTCTGTGGGGTTGACTCTCTGTGGGGTTGACTCTCTGAGGGGTTGACTCTCTGTGGGGTTTACTCTCAAGAAAGACCCACACAGCATGTAAAAATCATCAACTTAGACTCAACTCTGAAACTTTTGAATTTTCACAGAAATTCTGCATGAACATTCAAGATGGCTGGTGTTAATATGATGTTTTGGCCTGTTGTTCAAATGTAGCTTAAAAACCACTGTGTAATTTGCTGTAATGTCTGTCGTGTATATACAGGCTGAAAGTATTAATACCTTCAATAGTCTCTATCTGAAGTAATTAAGAATGAGTTACATCTTGACCCCAACATATATTTAAATTCAGGTGAGCTACATTGTTCTATCAGCTAAAAAAACCCAGGTCATGGTCGGAACTTCAGCTCAGAAATATAGATTCAGTAATGAAAACTGTGAAAAAACAGAATTCCTATTAATCTTCAGTTGAGATGAAGCTGATAAAATGAACATCTTTGATAAAAAGTTCTCCTGATTTATTGACTAATCTGATGACAATCCTTCAGTTGGTTGGTGATACACATTTTAATGACCAGTTGACCAAGGGAGATAACTGTAACCTTTAACATAAGTGCAAATTGTAGTTTGCCCTTAACTTTTATTATATGGAATTTTGTAAACATTGCCACAATACCAGTAAGTTGTCCTGCTCAGACTGATTCCACAGTATTTATTTGTGATTAAGTGTTCCACAAATTGTGTTTTGTTTTGCTTGGAGTATTTGTGACGTTATTCAACCTGAAGCCAAGACTACAGCAGTATTACACCAATACGCTCCACAAGCTTCAAATAAATGTGGTCCCTTTTGTTGCACAAGTTTGTCAGATTTGTTTTTTATTTCTAGTACATGTGTAATGGATAACCTTAATCTTGAGCCAAAAGTATCACCCACCCTGCCCGAACTCTCATGTCCTTTAACGTAACTGTCATGTCTTCTGCTAATTTCATTGGCTGTTGTTTTCTTTGTACATTAATCACTTTATGTGTATACACAGCATCATGTAGATATGTTCACTCAATATGCATACTGAGTTTTTAATTATGAAGGGGAAAGAAGAAGCTCTGAATTATTATTAACAGCATTAAGTTGTTACATGTTAAATCTTAAATTGAAACTAAATGTTAACCATGGATCAATCTGTAATAGAACTCAGTGTGAAACCAACAAATGTTTTCTAAAATTAGCTAAATTTACATATCTTTACAAAGGTTTTACAGTAGCAGTTCAAAATGAAGCCAGTATAATACAATAGCAGTGTGTATAGTAATATAGACAGAGATTGTAATAGTCACCTCACTGCAGGCTGAGTAGCCAGTAGATGAATCATCTCCACACTGTTGTTCTCTTCTTGTAACTTGAGATGTAATGTGACCCGTGAAGGTCCGGGCTAGAACTGCTCTTCAGTAACCCATGCTTGTCATAAGAGGCAACTTATGGATCGGGTGGTCAGGCTCGCTGACTTGGTTGACACATATCATCGGTTCCCAATTGCGCAGATCAATGCTCATGCTGTTGATCGTTTGATTGTCTGTCTCGATTATTTACAGACCACTGCCATATAGCTGGAATATAGCTGAGTGCGGCGTAAAACTAAACTCACTCACTCACTGAGATGTAATGTGAGATGAGAGGCAAGAGTTAGCTCCCTTGGTATACCAACGACAAACACTCCCTGAGAGTCAGAGTATAGTGGAAAGGTCTAGTGTTGTTGTACCTTGTAGTACCTTCTAGAACTCTGTCTAAATATAGCACACTAGTGCAACCTACTGTAGGTCAACAGGTACAAAACATTACACTTGGAACATTGTTACATGCATGTATAATACTGCCACAATGTTATTATCAAATTATGAAATAATCATCCCTTAAATCTCAGTATTTTACTGTAAGATTGGTACAAACGATGAGTGTCGTGCTATCTTGTTTAATGCTCTGGACATATTACATAATGGCTCGCTCTGGTTGCGGCCATGTGGGATAATACTGCCACAAACTTGGCATGCATTAATGTATAATATGGAATGTCAATTGACCGGAATATGGATCCCTTAAATCTCAGTATTTTACCATTTAGTGATTGACCTTTTCCAAATAATACATATAATTCTGTTTACTGCTGGAGTACTGATTAGCCTGTTCAGATATGAATAGTGAGTGCACAGAGCATAGCAATGTGAATGATGCGCTATAGAAATTCATGAATTATTATTATATCAAAGGCACTTCAGTTGGCCTTGTCCACGGGGACATTTCAGGATGCTTACCATTTTTGTTTGAATGTACTTTATTAATATTTTAGATCCAATGCTTACTTTACTCAAGGTTTTCCAATTGACGACTTTGTTTACAATATAACTTTCAGATTATGCAGTGGAGACAATCTTTAAAGTGTCCTTAGGCTTGTTTTGAGTTTGATGGATTGCTCTGAATGACATAAAATCTAAAATCTAAACAATCTACAGTGAAGTTTTAATTTAAACAAAAAGTGATACAAGAGCATGATAGACAGACTTGGCTGTGATAAAACTAGCATAGTTAAACACTAAGATAATCTAGAAACCTGTATCTGTTGTCTATCAATAAGGCATGGATATCGCTCAATATACAACAGATGGGAGACAACTCTGTCTGCACTACTTCACATGCAGCCTGTTGCATGACTCTCAGATTTCTATGGCAGGGTGACAATTTCATCAGCCGCACCTGTTGACATCAACACGACGATGCTACCAAGCAACGGTCACCTGGGCGATGGATACGTTGACACAAAGATGTCACCAAAGCCAGCCCCTAGAAAGTCAAAAGTGAGTATTTTTAACTTTTTAAGAAATGAGTGTGTAATGCAGTATTCTAGCATGACATTTCATGATCCTATTTCATGTTTGGTCAACCAGTGTGTTCGGCATGTGACATCATGTAAAGCGTGACACTTGGTGCAACCCTATTAATGTCTGTGACGTCATGTTAGGTGTGACATTAATGAGTGAGTGAGTATGGTTTTACGCCGCTTTAAGCAATATCCCAGCAATATCATGGCGGGGACTCCAGAAATGGGCTCTACACGTTGTACCCGTCTGGGGAATCGAACCCGGGCCTTCGGTGTGATGAGCGAACGCTTTAACCACTAGGCTACCCCACCACTCCAGGTGTGACATTAAGTGCTTGGGGTCTGTGACGTCATGTTAGAAAACAAGTTGACTTAGTCTCTTAATGGTGTGGAGGGACTCTTCCAGGATGAGGTGAGACAGGGTTGTCCCTTCTTTGGGTGAGGGCAGAAAGAGTTGTCTCTCCCTGGGCTAGGATAAGACACAGTTGTCTTCCTTGAATGAGATAAGCTCGAGTTGATACTCTATAGTTTGTTTGCAGTGAAAACGTACCAATGAATTTCACTTTAAGCGAAAAAAGTAAGTGAAATATAGTCAAATTAAGATTGTGAATCCTCATAATTTTACCTTGCCAATTGAACATTTAAATTTCAGTCACTCTGCAGTAATATCAATAGAAATTCCACTATTGAAATGTGAATATCTCATAATTGTTAACTTTGCAATATTTTTACAAAGGAACTTTATGCTTTACAACTTTTAATAATGATAATAATATGTGTGACATATAATCAGATATGCACTTGACATAATAACTCAGTTTTGTGTATCGTGGAAAGAGAATAAATGTAAGCATATGTTGTACTTGTAACAGGACCAATACTATCGAGAAGGTACAGCAGTATGTAGTGACATTATTGCATTGACTGCAATGTAAAATGTATTATGTAAATGTAAAAAAATGTCAATAAAAAATAAAACATGGAAATTATTGACAAAATGCACATTTTCCAGTTTGCTTGCCCAGGGATTTGCAGGCAGGCAATGTGGACAATGAATCATGATATTCAAAATTGAATTTTAAAATGTTTTTGTACATTTGAAGAAGTGTGAAACTGTACATTCAAAATGGGAATCAGTACTGTCAGTTTCTGCTGTCTTGGGCTCCAATATCAGGCTGAGCAGTTCTAGATTAATCCATGTTGCCACTGGTTCTTAGTTTAAAATCACAAATTCTTCTCATCTCAAACAAATTCATTAACACAGAAATAATTCATGACATAACTGAAAACAACTGTTCATAATAATACTGATATGTTGTTACTATGGAAACAGCACAACAAAATGTCATTTATCTTGTAACACTTTCCATCAACTTTAATAAATTGGTTTCCATAGTAACACAATTTCCATGTTTCTATGTAGAATATCGGTTTCAACCTGAAACCAATAAATTACTGAATAGACCTCATGGTCACATCTGCTCCCGGTTGAAACATAGCTGAATATTGATAAATGTTTTACGCCTTTACAAGAAAAGGATACGACAATATTCTCTGTGTGACTATCTAAATCATGAATCTGTTATTGCCACTGTAAACAAGATAGTAATTAGGCTTATTATTGGAAAACAGTACGAGTAAGTGCAACGCCCATCAGCAACGCCCATAGCCCATCGTCAGGGCAACAGGAGACTTTGTTATTGTGTTGAAATATCAGGAAATGAGTTTTTTCCATGTCACGGACAGTTCCTCGAAAGGGATCAGGTTGTCAGACCAGGTGACTTTGGCTCATTGTATGAATCAATGTATTGTCTGGATGAGACTCTATAAGTGGTATATTGCTGAATGCATGTTGTACAACAAATATTGTTAGAGGCGACTAACGAGATCGGGTGGTCAGGCTTGCTGACTTGGTTGACACATGTCATCGGTTCCCAATTGTGCAGATTGATGCTCATGCTGTTGATCACTGGATTGTTTGGTCCAGACTCGATTATTTACAGACCACCGCCATATAGCCGGAATATTGCTGAGTGCGGCGTAAAACTAAACACTCACTCACTCACTCACTCACTCACTCACTCACTCACTCACTCACTCACTCACTCACTCACTCACTCACTCACTACAAATACAACAACTTTTTCTCCTCCATACAACTGAAGTGCTTTCATAGAACTGAAATAGAGTGGGGCGGTGGCGTAGCCTAGTGGTTAAAGCGCTGCTCGTCACGCCGAAGACCCGGGTTCAATTCCCCACATTGGTACAGTGTGTGAAGCCCATTTCTGGTGTCCCCCGCCGTGATGTTCCTGGAATATAGCTGAAAGTGGCTTAATACCAAACTCACTCACTCACTGAAATAGAGTGAACAGTCACTAAGTCAGTCGTCTGAGGGTGAATCCTCTGGGTGTGTAGAATACTTTAATCCTGTATTGAAGAAGACCCTGGAGTCCCATCATGGAGTATGAATCTCGAGCTGAGAATCACCTGACATCTTGCAATGTGATACATATCACGATACAAGCAGATGATACCACTGGTATGATGATACACCCAAACAAATAGTAAGAAATGGTAAAATCGTACAAATTGTCACACTGTGCATGCAATCTCAAGTTTGTCCAAGGAGTTTACCAAGCTAAACTCTATGGAAATGGAGACGTGTACACCATGACAGTACCACCACAGGCTTTTATGGAGGTTGCTATGTTACTTCTGCTGTTCTGGAGGTTCCTGTAATCTGGTCCTGTTCTATTATACCACAGTCTTCTATGGAGGTTGCTATGTTACTTCTGCTGTTCTGGAGGTTCCTGTAATCTGGTCCTGTTCTATTATACCACAGTCTTCTATGGAGGTTGCTATGTTACTTCTGCTGTTCTGCTGTTCTGGAGGTTCCTGTAATCTGGTCCTGTTCTATTATACCACAGTCTTCTATGGAGGTTGCTATGCTACCTGTAATCTGTCTATGTTACTGCTGTTCTGGAGGTTCCTGTAATCTGGTCCTGTTCTATTATACCACAGTCTTCTATGGAGGTTGCTATGTTACTTCTGCTGTTCTGGAGGTTCCTGTAATCTGGTCTGTTCTATTATACCACAGTCTTCTGGAGGTTGCTATGTTACTTCTGCTGTTCTGAGAGGTCCTGTAATCTGGTCCTGTTCTATTATACCACAGTCTTCTATGGAGGTTGCTATGTTACTTCTGCTGTTCTGGAGGTTCCTGTAATCTGGTCCTGTTCTATTATACCACAGTCTTCTATGGAGGTTGCTATGTTACTTCTGCTGTTCTGGAGGTTCCTGTAATCTGGTCCTGTTCTATTATACCACAGTCTTCTATGGAGGTTGCTATGTTACTATGGAGTAATCTGGTCCTGTTCTATTATACCACAGTCTTCTATGGAGGTTGCTATGTTACTTCTGCTGTTCTGGAGGTTCCTGTAATCTGGTCCTGTTCTATTATACCACAGTCTTCTATGGAGGTTGCTATGTTACTTCTGCTGTTCTGGAGGTTCCTGTAATCTGGTCCTGTTCTATTATACCACAGTCTTCTATGGAGGTTGCTATGTTACTTCTGCTGTTCTGGAGGTTCCTGTAATCTCTACTTCTGCTGTTCTGGGAGGTTCCTGGGTCCTGTTCTATTATACCACAGTCTTCTATGTTCTATGTTACTTCTGCTGTTCTGGAGGTTCCTGTAATCTGGTCCTGTTCTATTATACCACAGTTCTTCTATGGAGGAGGTTGCTATGTTACTTCTGCTGTTCTGGAGGTTCCTGTAATCTGGTCCTGTTCTATTATACCACAGTCTTCTATGGAGGTTGCTATGTTACTTCTGCTGTTCTGGAGGTTCCTGTAATCTGGTCCTGTTCTATTATACCACAGTCTTCTATGGAGGTTGCTATGTTACTTCTGCTGTTCTGGAGGTTCCTGTAATCTGGTCCTGTTCTGTTATAGTGTTCTGTTATAGTGTAGTCTTCTAAGGTTTCTTGAAACAGAAGTTGTTAGTTTGGGTTGCTTCACAATCTGGGACAGACATGGAGGTTGATACTTAGGTTCCTGTTCTGGTCATGTTCTGTTATTACCACAGTCTTCTATGGAGGAACTTCTGCTGTTCTGGAGGTTCCTGTAATCTGGTCCTGTTCTATTATACCACAGACATCTTCTGGTTTTCAATCTGGTCCTGTTCTATTATACCACAGTCTTCTATGGAGGTCTATGTTACTTCTGCTGTTCTGGAGGTTCCAGGTCATGTTCTGTTATAGTGTATGGTTTCTTGAAACATTTTAAAACAGGGACAGACATTTGATATTACGTTGTTATTACTCTGAGGAATCATCGGTTTCAATTACAAATTCCAAAGTTGATGACATTAAAAACATTTATTTTTCAAATGTTGCATTATCATTTTTAAATGTTTTATTTTGCAAATGTTTGGGTAGGTTGATCATCACAAGAACCTGATCAAGTCAAGGTTTAGTAGATGTAATCAAAGAGTATTATATCACTATTACAATAATTCCAGTATTTATGTGAAAAATATCTTCTTATATATGTCAGGTGGTATTGATTTAGTCAAGGACAACCATCAACTGCTCATAATGGTCTTACCTGCTTTATTGAAGAACGTATGCTGAACAACAAGTGTATTATCTGTGGTACATGGACATGTGTCTTCACAGTTGGTGAGATAGTATAGGATGTCTTCGTACTGTGTGTGTGGAGGCCGTATCCTGGTATGTGTCTGATTAGGACGTTTCAGGCCGACAAACAGACTGTTTGTTTGTTTGTTTTACTAGTAGAGAGACGTTTTTTCTTTTGTTCAATATGTGATACTTTTAAGAGCAGGATAATAATGAGATGTTGCATGACCATGCACATTTAAGAACATATAACATATCAATATGTACAATAATGTGCCAGCCAAGGTTAACGAGTTTCCCAGTTTCCAGAGAGTGGGAACATGCTTGTGTCATTAGACATGTG